ATTTATTTATTTTTATTTATTGTCTTTTTTGAGACAGGGTCTCCTTGTAGCCCCAGCTGTCCTGGAACTCCTCTGCCTCTGCCTCCCAAGTGCTGGGATTAAAGGCGTGCACCACCACGCCCGGCCTGAAGAATTATTTTTAAATTACGTGTCTGTATATGTTTCTTGGTATATGCACATGAGTCCAGGTGTTTGTGGAGAGGTGTCGGATCCCCTGGAGCTGGAGTTAGATGCAGTTGTTAACTGCTTGATCTATGGTGCTGTGAACTGAACCTCTCCAGGCCCAGGAAAGTGCAGACAGGGTTTCACTATCTGGCTTGGATTTTGCTCTGCAGACCAAGCTGGCCTCAAACTCCCAGAGATCCACCTGCCTCTACCTGGGATTAAAGACCTATGCTACCAGGCTTAGTGGTTTCTCTTTTTCTTTTTCTTTTTCTTTTTTTTTGGTTATTTTGAGACAGGGTCTCCCTGTAGCCTCAGCTAGCCTGGAACATGCTATGTAGACCAGGCTGGCCTCAATCTTGCAGAGATCACCTGCTTCTGCCTCCCAAGTGCTGGGATTAAAGGCATGTGCCACAAAGCCTGACCATGGTTTCTGTTTTAAACGACTTTAAGAGTAAGTTTGTTGATGTTAGTATAATCCTTTGATTCTTTTAGTGATTGAAAATGTAAATTTGATCATATATTTAGGAATGTCATTGATTCCCCAGTTTTAGTCAGAAATTACTGTCATTATTTGGATCTGCCTCTTGGTTGTGCTGGCTAACTCACTGATAGACACACAGATTAATTTTGTTATCGTCATGAGAGTCACCTTGTTCACAACCCACTGAGTTTTGGTGTGTACACTGAACAAGTAGCTTCACTGGAATAGCTTTAACATGTATCACTCTTACTGTAGCCATTCAAATTCATTTACAGAGCATTGAGAAAGCCAAGGTGCTAGATAGAAAAATGTCTTCATATCTAGTTTTGAACTTCGTGAGCTTCAGGAGATTCACTCTACTTTTACCCGGCCTTTAATTGGTGTTAATTATCTTACAGGTCCTTCTCAGGGTGGTCCAGGCCCTCAGTATCCTAACTATCCTCAGGGTCAAGGTCAACAGTATGGGGGCTATAGACCAGCACAGCCGGGACCACCCCAGCCACCCCAACAGAGGCCTTATGGATATGACCAGGTAAGTTGAACACTAGTCGTGGAGTTGCCTCATTGTTCTCTGTCTCTCTGGGTTTTTTGACTTCTTTGAGTTTTGAGGCTGGCTTTGAACTCATGATCCACGGGCTATGGGCCTCCCAGTATTGGAATTTCAGGCATGTGTCACCACACCTAACTGCCTTCTCTTGTTTGTGATAGATTTGCTAACCCTCAAGTTAAATGACTTTAAAATCTTTAGAATGCCAGCACAGTTTGGGTCTAGTTACTCTCACATGTAAAACAATGTTGAAATAAGACACACCAGCTCATTCTCCTCATAATGTCCCTTGGTGTCTGTCTAATGCCTCCATGTTTGTTGTTGAAGACTTCATCTTGATCAACTTCATTTTCAAGACTTCATCTTGAAATTTAAAGTGCATCGGGTCTGTGTAACATATCTGCCCCCTTCTTTCCTACTTTCAATAGTCTTATCTTTTTGTTGTTGTTGTTTGTTTGACAGGGTCTCCCTAGTCCCAGGCTCTTGGAACTCACTCTGTCGACCAGGCTGGCCTCAGTCTCAGAGAGATCCCCTGCCTCTGCCTCCTGAGGGCTGGGATTAAAGGTGCGCACCACCACCCGGTGTTAACAGCCTAGCTCTTTGAATTCTAACTTCTCTACTGAGTTGTCCTTCTACACACATATCTGTCACCTCAGGTGACACCATCATTCTTCATTAGGATAAGAGTCCCCTGAACCTAGTAGCCTAGTAGTATTCATTTAAGCCTTTGATATTTTATACATACATACATACATATATATATATATATATATTTTTTTTTTTTTTAAATCAAATGCCTTGAACTTCTGACCTTTGCCACAGTCACTTTTTATGAGCATGCTCGTTTTGGACTGAATTGTTATAAGAATGATTTACCAAAGTTCCTCTGCACAGATTTCAGGTTTGTGGAATGGATTCCCACTGGGGTGTTTTGATCTGTTCACTGCTTTTAAGATATTAAAATAGAATGTTTTGAACTGTCTTTAGTTTATTAATTAGTGCTCCGAGGCCAAAGTAGAAGATGTTAGAATTTGAGGACCAACCCAGATGCAGCATTAACTAGAATTGAGCCGTAGTTAGTGTTTTCTTTGACCCTCTGTCAGGCTGACAGCTCTCTTGTCCTTACATTTTTATGTATAAAGACACTAGAGATACAGGAGACTTACACTACAAGGGTAAGGCAGAGAAGTAATACTTATTATTATTTTTTTTAATTACAATAAAGTCAAAGGAGAAAGCAGGAGTTATAGCAAGTTTTATAAGTAAAATTAGGGGGCTGGAGAGATGGCTCAGCAGTTAAGAACACTGGTTGTTCTTGCGAAGACCCGGGTTCGAATCCCAGCACCCACATGGCAGCTAACAACTGTCTATAACTCCAGTTCGAGGGGATCCGATGGCATCTTCTGTCCTCTGTGGGCATTGCATGACATGGGCGCACTTACCTACTTGCAGTCAATACACACATACACATGAAATAAAAATAAATAAAAAAAATCTTAAAAAAGAGTAAAATTAGTCATGAATCTTTTAAGTTATCCTTAAGATCTGATCAGGAGGCTGGAGAGATGGCAGAGTGGTCAGGAAAGGTTACTGCTCTTGCATAGCATCTGAGTTCAGGTTCCAGCACACACGTCAGGCAGCTCAACAACTGCTTGCAGCTCCAGCTTCAGGGGAATCTGACACCTCTGGCCTCTGTGGGCACCTGCAGTCACTTGCCCATAGCCACATGCAGACACACATACATGTAATTTAAAAATTATTTTTTTAAGATCTGACCAGATAAACATTAGAATCACTCTAACCTACAGATGAGATTAAAGTTAGCATTTTAAAATTGAGATTCTTAACTGGGTGTGGTGGTGCACGCTTTTAATCCCAGCACTTGGGAGGCAGAGGCAGGTGGATCTTTGTGAGTTGGAGGCCAGCCTCTTCTACATAGTGAGTTCCAGGACAGCTGGGGCTACAGGGAGACCCTGTCTCAAAAAACAACCCCCAATACAAAAATTGAGATTCTTGCCATATGCCTGTTACTTTCATGTGCTGGACACTAGGTTTGGTCCCAGGTAAGTGAAACAGACCCGATCCTTAGGGCTTGTGGAACAGCTGTCTTGATCTTCCATGGCCTTGTTTTAGCATGGGCACATGCACCTTTTTGCTGTTTAAAGTCCTGGCTTCTCCATCGCACTGTGGCTTGGCTCCTGTTGCATTCGGCCTCTTTTCTTATGTTACTCCAGTTTTTGTTGCTGCCATCAGAGAACTTAAGGTAAGTCGTTGAGCTCACAGTTCTGGGATTGAAGAGCACAATGCTGACACCTGCTCAGCACTAGTGAGGGTATGGCAGGAGTGCGCACAGCAGTGATGAGCGCACACAGAAGAGGGGTTCAAAGCAGGTGCCAGGCTCCATTTTAACAGCTCATTCTTGTGGGAACCGATCCAGGTCTGCAAAATTTGCATTAATCCCTCTGAGCGTGGTGTCCTGAAACATGACTGCCTGACACTATGCCCCACCTCTTAAAGCTTGCCTGCTTGTTAGCATCACTGTAGAGACAGCACTTCTGCATGAGGACCTGAGGGGCCAACTACTCTCAGCCATTCCCCTTGCGTGCTGGATAGCTTTAGTGTCAACTTGACACACCCGGGTTGAGGGAGCCTCAGCTGGGGAATTGCCTCTATTGAACTGGCCTGTGGCCATGTCTGTGGGGCATCTTCTTGATTATTGAGTGATATGGGAGGGCCCAGGCCACTGTGGGTAGTGCCACCCCTGGGTAGGTGGGCCTGTGTTGCATAAGAAAGCAGGCTGAGCAGGGGCCAGGGAAGCAAGCCAGTAAGCAGAGTTCCTCCATGGCCTGTGCTCTAGTTCCTGTCTCCAGGTTCCTGCCCTGAGTTCCTACCTTGGGCTCCCTGATGAACTGTGACCTGGGAGATGTAAGCTGAATAAACCTAAACCCTTTCCTCTCCATGTTGGTAGTGGTCAGAGTGTTTTGTCACAGCAGTGGAGGAACAAACTAGGACACCTTGTCTTTCTTGTCCTTGTTTTTCTCCCTCTCCCCTTTCTCGGTCCCCCCTTGTCCCTTGCTTTTCATATTCCTCCCTCTTTCTCAGTTCTCTGTTTTTACATTATATATAAATTCTTTTTTAAAATTGATTTTTTGTGTATGAGTGTTTTGCCTGTATGTATGTAAGTGCATCCACGTGTACAGTTCCCACAGAGGCCAGAAGAGGGCTTCGGATTTCCTGGAACTCAAGTTGTAGATGGTTGTTAGCTGCCATGTGGGTGCTGGAAATTGAACCTGGATCCTCTGCTGGAACAGCCAGTGCTCTTAACTAGAGTGCCGTCTCTCCAGCCCCCTAAATATAGAGTCTGAATCAATGTCATCCTTCCTTATGTGTTTGATATGCTTAGTTCTTCTCAACCCAGGTTCATCTTTTCCCTACCATGAAGAAAACACTTTTCTTTTCTGTCCCCTTAACACTGGCATTTGTGGATCAACCTGATCAGTCTTCTTTGTACATCAATAGATCCAAATCTCCTAAACCAAATCACTGACTGTTGGATACTAAATACTTTACCAAAATTGAGGATGTATTTGGAAAAAGGGGGCATAGATTACCTGCCTTTGTGAACTGGTCTAGATGAGGTGAGACTCATAAACCAGTGAAAGGTAGTGCAGTTAGTACTGAGATGAACAAAGTAAGGATTCCTGTGACAGGAACTTCAAACTCAGTATCTCCTAAGTGCGAAGCCACAGGGATGGTTCAGTGCTGGCCAGGTAGACTGGGGAAGGAAAGGATCAGCTCTTCAGAAGAGCGGTCAGAGGACTGCCGTGACGATGTGTGTGTCGGTACCACAAGCCTGTGCAGGAGAAACTGTAGTCACATTGGCCTGCTTGCTCTTTCAGTATGCATCAGGCAAACTGCCCCTCAGAGCCTTTGGACTTGCTGACCCCTCTTCTACCTGCAGCCCTTCCTCCCTCATTTGTCAGATCACACAGCAGTTAGCACCCATATTATCTCCTTTCTCTAGTTTAAAATAACTTTATTGAGTCAGTTGTGGTGGCTCATGCCTGGAATCCCAGCACTAGGCAGGTTGAGGCAGGAGGATCATTAGTTCAAGGTCGTTTTGTGTACATAATGAGTTTTGAGGCCAGTCTAGGGTACATGAGATCCTGTCTCAAAAAACCCACAACCAAATAGCTTTATTGTGGCTTAATTTACATAATTTACATGTAATTGACTGCACCCTTGAAGCCATCATCAAAACCAAAGTGATGATGTAGTCATCATGCCCCAGAGTTCCCATGCCACTTTAAATCCTCCTGCTGCATCTCCTCCACAAACAGTACTGATCTGCTTTGTCACTATAGAACAGGCATCTGAATTCTTTTTTCTTAAATATTTTAAATTAATTTGGGGGGGGCGATGCACATGCTATGGTGGTGTGGAGGTCAGAGGACAAGCTTTGGGAGTCACTTCTCTCCCCTATTATGTTGATTCCAGGATGGAAGTCAGGTCATTAGGCTTGGCAGCAGACGCCTTTCCTCACTGAGCCACCTTGACAGCCCTGTCTGACTTCCTTTCTTTGTTTTGATATTCTCTCATATCGTTCTGTCAGTAATTCTTTATAGCTAACCAGTGTTCCATAATAAGGCTCTCACAGTGTACCCATTGCTCTGTAGATGGACATTTGGGTTTCCTGGTTGGGACTTTAAGATAAAGCACCTGAACAGTCAGTCAGGACTGTCTTTATGGAGGTGGACATTTATTTTTCTTGTCTATATACCTAGGAGTGCATCGAGCAGTAGGCATATGTCTAACTTGAGACTCTGCCAGATGATTGTTCCCCTCAGTGCAGCTTGGAAACAGGGACCGCACTCCTTGGTTCCAGAGGCTCGTTTGTTCTCCAAGTCTCAGATTCTTGTCCTGGGTTGTCTCTGGTCATAGGTTTCTGTTTCTTAGGTGTTGTGTAATTCTTTGGTTATAGGCTGGAAAGGAAATATAGAAAAGTGCTTTGCTTTTTCAGCATGGTGCTTGTTCCATTGCACAGATGAATTATTGTTTCTGAGTTAACCTCCACTTCCCTCAGTGTAGGTCTATAAAGACATCGCTGTCTGTTTTTATTACCATTGACTCTATCACCTAGTACTATAACATGTAGTAACTATTAGTAAATACAGCAGAAATAAGTGTATGGGTCCATTACTTCCTAGATTCAGATGTGATCACAAGAAGAGAAATGGACCAGGAGTTAAGAACAATTGGCGTTATTCCAAAGGACTCAGGTTGGATTCCCTGTGCACATGACAGCTCACAGCCATCCATAACTTCAACTCCAGAGAATCCGATACCCTCTTCTCATCTCTGTGGGCATTGCATGCATGTGGTACACTTAAATGCATACAGGCAAAACACTAATGCACTTTAAAAAGAATAGAGAGAGAAGGAACCCCAAAAAGTTGAATGTTAAGACTTTTTAAAAAAAAAATTGCATTTGTGTGCACGCACACACACACACACACACACATATACATACATACAAGCGTGCACTGGTATAGTGGCACATATGTGAAGGTCAAAGGACAACTTTTAGGGTTCAGTTCTCCTTCCTTGCGAACTCTGGGCCTTGAACTCAGGTCATCAGGCTTGCAAACAAGTGTCTTTACTCGCTGAGTCATCTCACTGGCTTGAGGTTTTTAACTGATTAGACAAATTGAATGAAAGAAGAAGGAAAGAAATTAAGACTGGGTTGCATTGCTTAGTATTCTAGCTGAGGAGCTTTTCTCATTCATGACTCTTTGGCTAAGCAAGCTCATTTATTCACATAGTTTCAGTTTCCTGTGTTGCTAACTCCCCAGTCTTTCAGGTGGATAGATGCTGGACATCTCTACTGAGTTGCATTGTATGTGTATTCAACATAAGCCAAACAAATGAACATATCTTTCTATATCTTTTCTCATAAAATGGGTCCTATCACCAGTCTAGAAAGCCAGTGTCATATTTCATGTGTCAGCCTTCCTTCCTACCTAATAGACGACCACATCTTATCTGTTCTTCTGAAAACCTTCAGAGCCCCCAGCGCTGTCCTGCCTGTCTTATCTCAGTTTGGAACATGTTTTATCGCCTGTCGTCACCACAGCAGGCTCCTCCTTACTTCCCTTCTCCTCTCTAGTCAGAGGAATTTTTTTAATTGATAAAGAATTGAAGAAATAAAGAGATAGGAACATAGGCTTAGAGAATTGAAGTGATTGACTTAGTAAGACAGAGCTTCAGTGTTGAGGCTGGATGACAAGTCTCAGGTGACAAGAACCCACACTTGGTTCACTGTGCAGTGGTCCTGACCCCTCTTACCTGTGGTTTTGCTTTCTACAGTTCAGTTACCCCCAGTGGGCTACAGTCTGAAAGTGTTTTAACTTTTTAGAGAGAGACACATTCATATACCTTTCAGTAGAAAGCATATTTCTATAATTGTTCTATCTTACTGTTAATCTCTTCCTGCCTCTAATTAATAAACTATCATGTATATATGTATGTATAAGGGAAAAAATAACATGCAGAGTTCAGTGTTAAGTGTGCTCCGGGTTATCACTTGGGATCTCTTGTATTGCCCCTAGTAATATTAATGAACACCAGAGGAGATCACAAGGCATTTTCATGTTTTTTAAAATAACTTTTCGAAGTAGGTATTATATGCTGATCACTTGTCCACAGTCAGGATAGCTGTTCAGTGAAAAGTTAGTGCCAGGACCTGGCTTCTGCCTCCATTCTGTCACTCTGTAATTTGATAATAGTTTCCAAATCAGTTACACTTTTTTAGGCAGGGATGTGATTTGGTTTGGTCCTAGGACTGTGGTTGGATGTGATCAGGTTCAGGACTTTGGATTCTTCTACCGTAAAATGGAGCTGATACTCCAGGAGAGGTTAGAGGGGGACACAAAGACTTCAGTGTGTCTGACTTATGCTAGGGCTTGAATATCTAGCTGTCTAAGGAATGAATTATGGGGCCTGGAGAGATGGCTCATTGGTTAAGACCAGCCTTCTGCTCTTCCAGAGGACCAGAATTGGTTTCCAGCACCCACATCAAGCAGAACCACCTGTAACTCCAGATCCAGGGGACAGGATGCCCTCTGGCCTCTGCAGGCACCTGCACTCCTGTGCACATACCCACATATAGACACAGAGACAGACAGACCCCCCCCCCCCATAATTAAAAGCAGTGAAAATAAGTCTTTAAAAAAGCACCTGTTAATATTCTGGCTATTGATCCCTTTGACCTCAGTCCCCGGTACACAATAATTATCACCTCCTCATTATTGTACATTCTGCTTGCTCCCCTCTTCTCTAAACACACTGTATTTGTTTTTTTCTCCCTGCCTTTGTTTAGCTACTCTTCTCTCCGAACTGCTCCCTCTATTCTACTGTTCGTCACAGTGACTCGGATATAATTTCTTTGCATATTATTGAAATTGTCTTATGTGTCAGGCATTCTTTAGCACTTGGGGATGAGGGTGGTGGATACTGGCCTCTGTCCTCCTGTGGTCATAATCTAGTTCATGTTTCTGTGGCACAGTAACTCTTAGCCTTTCTTGCACTTCTGTGTGATTTAAAAATATTTTTATTGCATTTTTGTTTGTTGAATATATGTATATGTTTGTGGGCACACGTGCACATGTGGGGGTCAGAGGACAGTTTGCAGGAGTCAGTTCCCTTCTAACATGTGGGTCCTGGGGAGGAAGCACTGGCCCCTTTCCCATGATTTCTATGTACAGCTCACTTTGGTCATTAGCATCTCACTGGGGGAATATTTCTCACTAGCATTGAGACTCGCTAAGTTCTAATTAACTAATTTATTATTTGAGGCAAGGTTTCACCATATTGCTGGTCTCAAACTCCTAAGCTTGAGCAGTCCTCCATTCATCCTCCCCAGTAGCTGAGTCTGCAGGGGCCATGGCACCCTGCTGGTTGTGAAAGTCCTTTCTCCTGAGCTCCCTTAGTGTCCTAGTAGACAAATAAGGTAGGACTTAATGATTTAGTACTTGATGGGCAGGAAATTGTGATCCAGAGATGGAGCTCTTCTTCCTCTAATTCATGCCTCAAGAATCTTGACTCTCAAAAGAGTATTTTTAGACTCAAATAAAAAGTTGGCAGTAAAGTTAGAACCTAAATTGAGCTTCGTGTTTAGGCTCTGTGATATTTGAGCAGTAAGCTGCTCCTCCGTTCTCACTTACACTTAACTTTAAGTATCCTTGGTGTTGATTTGTAACAGTGATTAGAAGGAGCTGAGCTTTTCCAAGGTTGTAGCACTAGTGTGTGATTTGTTTATTCAGATAACACATCAGAGGGCAGAACTAAAACTCATCATCAGCCCTTGGTTTGATTCAACTAGAGTCACCAAATGTTTATATTACCACTATGTGATAGCTACTGTGGTTGGCTCCTGGGCTAATCTTTGATCTATTTGGAGCTGTGGGTTCCATATGCAATTGAACATAGTATAAGAAAAAAATTAGAGGAATAGTATATACATAATACAGAAAAATTTATAGGTATCGATATGTGGTTGCTTTCTTGGCATAAAAATGCTACAAATTAGCCTGGCGTGGTGGCGCACACCTTTAATCCCAGCACTTGGAAGGCAGAGGCAGGCGGATCTCTGCAAGTCAAGGCCAGCCTGGTCTACATAGTGAGTTCCAGGACAGCTGGGGCTACAGGGAGACCCTGTCTCAAAAAGACCAAAAAAAAACCTACAAATTATTTGTGATTTTCTATGTTGAACTAACTTGGGTGAAGCTATTATCTAATTTCTGTTTTTAAATTTATCTTTTAGGGGCAGTATGGAAATTACCAGCAGTGAAGAAGTCCTTACATTCCAATAGCCAGTATCTCTTAGCAGCATATTGTCACCTCAGCACTGTGGACACCTCCCTGTGATGATGTCCTTCCATTCCATCTAATTTTTGGAAAAACCTTGTGGATAAGTGGCTGCTTTGTCAGCAAGCAGCCTCTCTCGGCTTTAGTTTTAAAAGGCATTAGTAGCTCCAAAATATACCTGATTTCACATTTCTACTCTAGATGGCAACATTGGACAGAAAATGCATTGACATAACCAATCGGAAGTGATTTCAGAACTGTGTTTCAAATGGACTGTTACAGACTGAAAGGTGTGAACAGCTTTGTATGTTTATGAAGGTTGAGGGAATTTAATACTTTTCCACAGATTCTTTTGTAAGGGGAAGAGGGAAATGTACACTTTTTACTGCAGCAATATTTTGTATATTATGTTTATTCCATGTTGAATATGCAAGGCGGTACACTACGCACTGGGCAGAATCAGAAATCCTCTGTTCATGTGGAGTGTGGTGGATGCTTGATTGTTGTGCTCTCCAAATGGTGTTCTGTGAAGATAAAGGTGAGGGAGAAGACAAAAGCACACCATATGTCCACAGTTGTGTTCTTAGAGAGGAAATTCAGGTCCCTTTTATCTCCCAGGTAATCAAGGGCGCTGTGATACAGTTTTTGAGTACAAAGACATTTTTTTTTAAAGCCTTCCAGTTTTGTGGATTAAAACCTTTTTGTAAAGATGATTTATAATACTGTTTTCAAATGTGAGGCGATAATTATGTTGCATCTGTGAGCGTTGGGTGGCAGGTTCGTGTAAATGAAGTGGGAAACCTCTCCTAAAACAGCAATAACTAAAAAAAGGAAAGCGTTAAATTTTACCTTTTTTGAGCAATCAGGGATCTTAAGTAATATCAATGCATTTTATAAACATATCTAAGAGAAGTCAGAGTTGATCTAGTAATTTTATTTTTTAGCATTAGGTGGATAATTGGTTTATGTAACAAAATGATTTAGAGACTATATGCTTCTTATTTTGGTCTTTTTGAGACGGGGTCTCCCTGTAGCTGTAGCTAGCCTGGCACTCGCTGTTGTAGACCAGGTTGGCCTTGAACTCAGAGATCCGCCTGCCTCTGCCTCCCAAGTGCTGGGACTAAAGGCGTGCGCCACCACGCCTGGAGAGACTACATACTTCTATTTTAACTCTTAATTGGAAATGAATAAGGGGTGCTTTTATGTGCTTCCCTCTTCATCTTGGTTGATGTAATAGAGATGTTTAGGAAAATGCTTACTGGTGAGGTGTTTCTGACATGTATGGAAAGCACAGAGGTTGCTTTTTATGCCCCCTTGTTTTTAAGCATGACATCATTGTTTGAGACTGTTTTAGCTAAATTTGGGGATATTGCACTGGGCGAGAAAGCATGTATTGAGCGATTTCTAACCACAGTTATTTAAGCATAATCTGAAAACATCTAGCCCAAAGGTAAGTTGTTATTTTCCTCAGAGCTGCCTGTGCCCAGGGAATACTGCGTATTCTTTATAATTGAATTGGTTTTTCTCACTTCTAACTGGAAACAACAGAAGGGGTCCTATAAATTTGAATAAGCAAAGCACACTGATCTCAACATGTGGTAGTCAAAGGAGGAATTTCAGTGCATCTCTGTGTAAGAGAGTGTGTGTGAGTGTGTGTGTTAAGCTCAGAATGGACTTTTCTTAAACTTGGTCAATAGAAAATGGACGTCAAGTTTTAACAGATAATGCGTGGGCAGTCTTATTATGATTGAAATGCTTAGGTTCTGTGCCAATTTCCCACCACTGTGTACTTTGTTGCTATTTAAAACTGTATCAACTCTAACAGAAGAATAAATTATTTGTGATTTTAATTTTCTCATTTGTTTCTTTAAATTAGATCTCTTTGACTCTCTTGTTCTGTCTGGAGACTGCATTCTGGGTTTTTATATAAGTTAGTCCGGTGTGATCAGACTATATTCGTATTCTAGGACTTTATCAAAATTCTCTTGCCATGCCCAAGTTAATTAGAATTAACTGTTCCATAATCAGCATGTTGTGTAGGCTGTGTTGCAGAATTCTTTCTTTGAAAATGAAGTCCATGAGGCTGTAATCAAGATGACTGAATTAGATAAATGAGTGAGGAGGCAAAATTGTGCTGAACCCAACCTGGTAGAGATGCGTTATCTCATTTGAAATAAGCTCAGCTGACATTAAGAAATAATTTGTCTTGCCAGCCCATCTTCTGTTGTCTTATTCTCCTTTTAATGGAAACTAAAATTGCAATTTTAATAAGCAGAATTTCCTCCAGGACTTTCTTCCCGGAGACTAGTGCATTTACGAGGTTTAATTGTTTTATAACAGTCCTATTTCGTAAAAGTTTTTAATTGGTGGTGACAAAAATTACCTTAGTCCTTTGGTACCTAGAAAGAGCAACTTTACCAAGTAGCTTTTCTATCAAATTTGACATTTTTTATACACTGTATATTATAAAGGTGACTTTTTCATTTTGTCAAAATGTATCGTATTGAATAAATACCATAGCATTCCATAAAATCCAAGAAGCCAAACATTAATAAACAAAGAGCAGGTGATTATTAGTTTCCTTGTTTGAGAGCATGTCAGCCGGCATTGTGTAGCTTTATTTGAGGCATGGCTGTTTGGGTTTAATGAGTCTTCAAAGTACAGTGGGGTTAGTTTTGATTTTTTGAGACAGGATCTCTTTGTAACCCCAGCTGGCCTGAAACTCACTTTGTAGACCGACCAGTCTGGCCTCTATTTCATAGACATCTGCTTGCCTCTGCCTCCCGAGTGCTGGGATTAAAAGCATACACTATCACATCCGCCTGAAATTCTTTGTTTTTAATAGTAACATTTAGTTACAACCATCTCTGAATCCGTACATTTAGACTGCTATCTTCTTTCATTAAAAAAAAAAAAATCAATTCATGTTAAATAAAAAATTAACAAGTAGATCTGGGTGTGGTGGCACAGGCCTTTAGTCCCAGCACTTGGGAGACAGAGGCAGGCAGATCTTGCTGCCTGATGGCCTTTCCCAACTTACACATCTGACCATGCCACTCATCCTTACAGCCCCTTGGCTGTCCCAACTGTTCAATGTACCAGACAACTCCCTCTAGGATCCCTCAAAAAAACCAAAAAAAAAAAAAAAAAAGGAAAGAAAAGAAAAAATTAACAAGTAAATTCCTGTCAGTACATATTCTTTTTAAAAAAAATGGAATCGTGCTTTATGCTTTTTTTTTTTGCCTTTCATTTTTACTATTGCAAAACTGTTTTCATAAAACATCTGGCAGGATTTTTTAAAAATATGTTTTTAGAATGTTTCTAGATTCTAATATGCTATGTGTGAGATTGGACATTTGAGAAAGTGTCACCCCAAGAGTTATATCCTCACGAACACTAGTTTAGTGATAAGCTAGGAGAAGTTTTAGTTTTTAAAACAATGTTATCTCTGAATTACAGTTGACTTGTAAGTTGAACATCATTTCAAATGACACCTTTGTGTTCTGAAATGCCTTTTCATGTCCTTTGTCCTCTTCTCTGTTGTGATGTCGTGAGAAGGAAGAAATATAAATGTGTATACATGTTTTTGCACAAAGGCGTGTGCACACAATACATAGCTTTATCGGTCCTTGCCTCATCTGTATCTTACAGATCTCTTCTAGCATTATTTCAAAAAATTTTGGTTATGATGTTTTTCACTGTACTAATGTTTTAAGGTTTTATGTAGTAAAAAGAATTTATGTCTTGCAACCTCCCTAACTTTTAAATTTATAAAAATACTTCTCATATTTGCTTCCATTTTTTCTAAAATTCACTGTACTTGGCATGATTTAGGCCATTAAGCTTTTCCCCATATGGCTAACCAATTGTTTGACCATCTATGGAATAAATCACTTTTCTTTCAGTGTTTTGAGATGCCATCTTATTCTTTTTATTAAAAAATTAATGATAGGGCCAGGTGAGGTGGCGCACACCTTTAATCCTAGCACTTGGGAGGCAGAGGCAGGTGGATCTTTGTGGGACTGAGGCCAGCCTGGTCTACATAGTGAGTTTCAGACCAACTGGGGCTACAGGGGACCCTGTTTCAAAATAAAAACAAAATTAAAAAAAAATTTATTATAGGGGGCTGGAACCCAAGTTCAGTTCCCAGCACCCACATGGAGGCTTACAGCCATCCCTTAACTTCAGTTCCAGGGTATCCACACCCTCTTCTGGCCTTTAAGGACATTGCATGCACATTGAATGCAGGCAAAACACTAATACACAGAAAATTGATACTTAAAATATTTAATTATATGTAAGATGTGTTATTTTTCCATTTCAAAGACTAAATAGATTCATTTAAGTAGAACTACTTAATTACTATGAAGTTGTGAGTTGTCCTTTTTCTCTCATGGGGTAGTTTTTATTGGATAAAAGTTATCTTTGAGACAAAACTGGGCATGGCAGCACATACATTAATGCCTGTGGTGGTCAGAAGAGGGTGTCAGATCTCCTGGAACTGGAGTTATGGACAGTTGTTACTCCCCTTGTGGGTGGTGGAATCTGAACCCTGGTCCTCTGCAAGAGCAGTTAGTGTTCTTAACTGCTGAGCCACCTCTCCAGCCCCCTGATTCTGGGGTCAGAGGCAAGTGGATCTTTGTGAGATCGAAGCCAGCCTGGTCTACATAGTGAGTTCCAGTGTATAAGCCAGCTGGGGCTTTAGGGAGACTCTGTCTCAAAAATAGTAATAAAAGTAAAGCAAAACAAAAGTTACAATGACTGGTTTCTTAGTAGTAAGAATTATAAAATGTATTTCTGTATAGAATGAATAGAACTTCTTAGAAATTTTTTCACTTGTTGGTTTATAGACTCCTTGATTTTAAAACTATTATTTTTATGTGCATGAGTGTATTGCCTATATGTAAGAACACTCATGCTGTGCGATGCCCGCAGAGGTCAGAAGAGGGTGCCAAATTTCCTGGAACTGCAGTTATGGACAGTTGTTAGTCCCCTTGTGGTTGCTGGAATCTGAACCCGGGTCCTCTGCAAGAGCAGTTAGCGCTCTTAACTGCTGAACCACCTCTGCAGCCCCCTGACTTTTTTTTTTTATAGCTGCCCCAAAGAACCTACTGGACTAATAAGAAAAGAAAGAAACCAATAGAAAATCTTGTTTTATTATCTATAGGTATGAGACTCAAAAGTAAATATTGCTATGTAATTTCTATCAGTTCAGTAAAGACCAATAAGCAGAACGACCATATACTTTAGTATACAGTCTGGGGAGTGAAAGGGAGAGTATTTTACATACTCATGCATGTTTATAAACACAAAAATGTATACCTGTATTATGTACATGCATGTTTGTATATATGTGGATAAATGTGTCTTTTAAAATTTAGTGTTTGAAGTCTGGAAAACAGGGCCCAGTGGTTAAGAATGCTTGCTGCTCTTGAAGAGAACCTGCATTTGGTTTCCAGCATCCACATTGGCTGACTCACAACTTCTGTAGCTTCTGCTCCAGGAGACCCAACACTCTCTTCTGGTTTCTGTGGATACCTGCACTCGCATGACGTAAATTTAAAAATAAGTTTTAAAATTTTTAAAAATTAGTGTTTACTGACAGATCAATACTTTAAAGAGTTTGGATATGATATGTGAGTAATACACTTCTGTTCAAGTGGCTGTCTTTGTGACAGCATACTATGAAGTTTTTCTTGATAGTACAATCACAAAAAATTACTGTTTAAATAGGTAAATAAATCTAGAATATTCTGAGAGGTTGTCATTCCCTTCTGTGTTACAGAATACCAGTTATCCCCATATTGTGGGCAGGTGCATAACTACCTACCTAGAGACGGGTACATCCTCCTTTCCAGCTAAGCGTGGTCCTGTGCCTTTTAGGCCAGTAGTGTATAAGCTGAAGCCATGTGCCCAGTCTCCTGAACTCATTCCGGAACGTGTGCTCTGTCTCCAGTTCTCAGGGGCTGGAACATGATGCATTGAGGGGGAACTTTGGCCTTACAGATTAGAAAATCAGTAGAAGAGCTTGGCAGTGCAGGGTGATGGAGTCCCAAGCCCCCAGAATGAGCTCATAAAACCTCCATTTCTCCTTATTAGCTTTTGTCTGTCTTCACACTAGCGAAAGAACATGTCTGTCTTACTAAAGAGCTAGTTACAGCCACAAAGCTTGTGGTCCAGGACTGTTAGCATGGGGGCTGTCATACTTCCTGTGGCGTACTCTAGGAAGTTACGGCTTTTAGAGGAGTGACAAGCTAATCTGCGAATGTACTTAATCATTTCGTTTGCATTCTTGAAGCAGGCAGTTCAGGCTTTCTAAGAACATCCTGTACACCCTGTTGTTTAAATGAGTGGAGTGCCCTGCTAATTTTAAAATACCAGTAAAATATGTTTAGTATTTATAATACTTTTGGTAACTGTAGAAAATGTATTTGATGGAGAACTGTATAAGACCATCAAATGTTTGAAGTTTTTCCACTTTTATTTTGGCTTCTGTCACTAATTTGGTCTTTGAGCTCCCTTCTAAATCTTGCTGCTGTTCCCTTAACTTTCTGGCTTCCCCTATTAATGTTTACTTTGATTGTAGATTATGTGCCAACTTGTCTTTGGTTTTTTTTTTAAAAAAGATTATTAACATTTTGATTCTCTAGCTGGGTGGGTTGATGCAAGTCTGGGAACTCAACACTTAGAAAGCTGAGGCAGAAGGGTGACAAATTCGATGCCACAGTTGGCTACAGAGCCTCAGGGAGAAAAACAAAACTTACCAGTGGAAGACTTATTTTGGAGTGGCGTCATTTTCCATGTAGTATTTTATACACATGATCAAAATATTGTTTATGGTATTGTGCAG